AGATGGAAAAAAAATTGAGGGGGAGAAAGAAAAAAAAGACAGTGAGTAGATAAGCTTCAGAGGGATAGCTGAGTGAGTCTAACAGGAAAAACAAACAAACAGGCTAGTAGCATCTTAAAGACTAAATAGTTAGCACTTGGAAAGGAAGAGGACCAACACCAGATTCTAAACAGACATCAAGAACCACTAGCACCTTCACTATTTGGTTGGTTGATAACATGCGAGCCATCTGATATCATGATTCAAACCATCGGCATAAGAATTAAACTTGTGAATGAAGTTAGGCTCCAATCCTTCTCTGTGTATTTGGCGTGTGGAATAGGTCGGAAACAAAACAGCGACTTGTAGATCCATTAATGAATGTCCAGGAAGATTCAAGTGTTCTTCAACAAGTTTTTGTGTGTTGCCTTTTTGGATATCTGATTTGTGTCCATTAATTATTTTAAATAGAGACTGTCCAGTTTAGCCGATATACACTTCATTTGCCAGAGTTATGCTCCTTTCCATTTTCTTCACTAGGATTTAACTTTCACTCTTTAAATTGCGCCTATTTATTTCTCACTGCTTCTTTTACTTTGCTGTTAAGCCCTGGTGGCACTTTGGTTCTCTGTGTTTTTTTAATATGTGGTATACATTTAAGCTGCGCCTCTATTATGGTGTTTTTGAAAAGTTTTTATGCAGCTTGCAGAGATTACACTTTTGGCACTGTAATTTTAATTTCTTGTTAGTGAACCTCATTTTTGTGTAATTCTCCTTTGTGAAATAAAATGCCATGGGGTTTTTCTGCCTTGGGGATGTTAATTTAATTATATTATAGTAATTATTTCTAATCAGTCTAGCTGTATTCACCTCTTGGGCCAAATTTTGCACTTCACTTAGGACTACATCAAGAATTGCCTCTCCTCTTGTGAGTTCCAGAATCAGCTGCTCCAAGAAGCAGTCATATAAGGTGTCAATAAACCTTATTTCTGCATCTCATCCTGAGGTGATGTGCACCCAGTCAAAATGGGGATAGTTGAAATGCCCCGTTATTATTGAGTTTAGTTTTTATAGCCTCTCAAATCTCCCTTAGCATTTCACAGTCACTATCATCATCTTTGGCAGATGGTCAGTTGACTATTTTTTCATCTGATTTCTTCTTTTCAGTTTGTCAGTGGGTTAGTCCAGATATGTACATTTCGAGCCTCCCACCAACACATGGATACAAGAAATCAAAGTATTTAGCCAATCACAAAAAGGAATACTTTCTGAATTAAGAATGGATCAAAACCTAAACAGGTGAGGAAATAGCATGTCTGCAAGAATACCTTGTTCAAAAAAGGAGAAAGGATGAAGTTAGGAAACAAGAATTGAGGAATTCCTACCAGAATGAAAAATGATCATTCTGAGTGAGATAAAGACCCAGGTACAGCGATCAAACTGATATAAAGGAACATGGTCAGGACGACAGAAGATAATCCATTGGAAGTGGATTGAATGAGCAGATCTTTGTGTTCACAGAGATCATTAGATAACATATTGCTTCAATGGAATTGGAAGGGTAAAACAGGCAGTGGTACAGCTTCTTTAGGAATTAAAATGCAGTCACCCCAATTTCCATTAAAAAAAGGATGTCCCATCCAGGTAGATTTTTGGGAGGAGATGGCTCTGGAATGTCCCTGGGAACTTCATAGCTCAGCAGAATTGGAAAAACAACACCCAAACCCTAGCATAATTCCCTGAAGATAGTTGTACTGCATTCTTAATAGAAGAACTCGTTAAAAAATTCTATAAAGAAAGCTCAAAGGATCTACCAAGGCAGGCCTGAAATTCAAACCCTATACTCCACATTTTGTTTGTGTGTATTTTGCTTTTGAATAGAAAGTCCAGAGGCACTGAGCAGAGCAGGAGTGATTTTCTTTGCCCTGCAGATATCTGAAGCAAAATAGTAAATTAAAGTCTCTGGCTCTGTCTTTACTTGGAAAAAAGGTGTATTCTTAACTTGAAGTAGGACAAGGCATCACAGAAGGAATTTCTCATGTGATGCAGAGAAGACTGGTGAGGGCTAGAACTGGTCCCACCACAACGGGTAGGCTAATCAAGAAAGAAGAGTTTAGGTTCAATGGATGTTCAGGATCACACATGGCATGTCTTCTGAGGTGAGGGCTGTAACAAAATTCTGTAACATAATAACCTGTTTTGAAATTGTGTACATGCAAAATTATGTTCTACTGTGCTACCAGGGCATTACAAGTTTGTAAAAGGATACCCTGATGTGAAAA